GGGCAAGCTCCGCATCGGGGGCCAGCGCCACTGTTGTCCTCCTATGGTGACCCGCAAGACGCTGATTACTAATGGGTTCACTGGTCCATACCAGGCCAGCGCCACTTCTACCTTGAGACCAACACCGCGCTCGCCCTGCCGGTCGAGGGAGGCTGCCTCTCCATCACCGATACCGATCAGTTCGTTAAGAGGAGCCCGTTCATTATTGTAGGTCGAGGGAGGCGGCCTCTCCATCACCTGCGCCAACCAGAACCCAACCCGCACGCAGACGGCGGTGGCGGGTGCGCTCGGCCTCCCCCTCGCCACGGTGGACGTGCGCGTGCGCCGTATCGGCGGCGCGTACGGCGGCAAGCTCAACGCGCACCTCCCGACGGCCATCGCCGCGGCCGTCGCCGCCGCCAAGCACGGCCGCCCCGTGCGGCTGCACAACGACCGTTCGGACGACATGGCGTCGACGGGCGGCCGGCCGCCGATGGAGGGCTCCTTCCGGCTCGCGGTGGACCAGGGTGGCGTACCATCCTCTCTCGAGCTCCCCGCAGCGCCGCGACACGTCCGGGACATGTCCGCGACATGTCCCGACAGGCGGCGTCGTCTCGTCAATCGAGCTCACCGCGGCGTTCGACTCTGGCGTCGTCGACGGCGGCGCAGGTGACCTGACGACGGGAGTTATATTATATTATTATTATTATTATTTATTATTATTGGTGCTCGACAGGCGACCTGACGACGGGCGCCTGCTCTGACTCGTGGCGAAGGACGAACAGTCAGTCAATTGGTGCTCGATAGGCGACCTGACGATGGGAGTATTAATTAATATATTATATATTATTAATTAATAATTGGTGCTCGACAGGCGACCTGACGATGGGAGTCTGCTAATAATAATAAATATAATAATAATAATAATAATTGGTGCTCGACAGGCGACCTGACGATGGGAGTCTGCTGGGCGGACAACGCGTACCGCGCCGACGACTTCGCGGTGCACGGCTCGTTCTACAACTCCGGCGTCGTAGGCAGCGCCGCGTGCTTCCCCGGGGGGGTGGTGCAGTCTCGGGCAGTCTCGCGCAATCTCGCCTCGTCCCCCCCCGTAGGCAGCACCGCGTGCCGAGCTCCCGGCGTCGTGCAGACCATCCCGCTGCACGAGTTGGCGATGGAGGCTGCGGCCGAGGCGGTCGGCCTGCCGGCGGACGCGGTGCGCGAGGCCAACCTGTACGCCACGGGGGACGCGGCCCTCTGCGGCGTCACCGTCGGCGAGAACGGCTTCAACTGGAACCTGCCGGCGATGTGGCAGTCCGCGAAGGCGCGGTGGGAGGTTGCGGCGCGGCGCGAGCAGGCGGGGGCTCGAAAACCGCGCCCCAACCTATTGCAATCGCATTGACTCGCATTACTCGCCATGGATTCGCATTACTCACAATGGATTCGCATTCCTCGGCATTGTTCGCACTGGCCAGCATTGATTCGCATTGGTTGGCGTGAGCAGGTGGAGGCGTTCAACCGCTCCAACCGGTGGCGCAAGCGCGGGCTGAGGATGGTCCCCGTCAAGTACGGCATCGAGGACAACGGAGGCGCGTACAAGGAGGGCTGCTCGCTCGGCGTGCTGGCGGACGGGTCCGTCCGGCTGGCCCACGGAGGGTGCGAGCTAGGGCAGGGCATCCACACTAAGGCGGCGCAGGCGGCCGCCTTCGCCCTCGGCTGCCCGCTCGGCGGCGTGTCTGTGTCGGACACCTCGTCGCTCGCCACGCCCGGCTCGGCCGACACGGGCGGCTCTGCCACCTCGGAGTGCGTCGTCAAGGCGCGCTGCTGGACGCTTGACTAGCGCCTGACCAGCCCCTCCCTTCACACCCCGGAGTGCGTCGCCAAGGCGGTGCTGGACGCGGCGGAGACGCTCAACGCTCGCCTGCTCCCCTTCCGGCCGGCGGCTGGCGCGGCGGGGGAGGGCGCGTGGGAGGCCACAGTCAAAGCGGCGACCGACGCGGGCGACTCCCTCGTGGGGGGAGCGGCTGGGGTGGAGGGAAAGGCGCCCGCGGGGAAGGGGGAGGGTGTGAGTAGGCGTGTCCCTCGCGGCGAGCGGCTGGTTCGGCGGGGCCGCGCCCGAGGGGGTGCCCAAGTTCGACTACCCAACCTCGGCCGTGGCGTGCTGCGAGGCGGAGAGCGCGACCCGCCGCCGGTGACCCAGTGCCGAGTACTGCTGTTTAGTGCTGATTCCTCTGCTATTCGAGATCTTAGCGCGGGTTTGCTAGTCTCTTGAATTTTACTTTCTTACCGCTATGGACCTGGGGCCGCTCCTTCATTCGTATATGAACTCCGAGTTATTCCATTGTGACTTCGTAATTTCTCTGCCTCTTCTCCTCTCTAATGACCTCTCTCCTCTGTCTCTTGTGCCCCCCCCCC